TCTCAAGGTTACAAGTCCATCTCCAGAGATCTTAATGTTCCTGCGTCCACTGTGCGCAGCAATGTCAAGATGTTTACAGCCCATGGCACTGTAGCTAATCTCCCTGGACGTGGATGAAAGAGAAAAATTAATCAAAGATTGCACAAAGTATTGTTCAAATGGTGGCTACAGAACCTCAATCAACTTCCAGACAAATTCAAGTTGACCTTCATGCACAGGATACAATGGTGTCTGCTCACACTATACGTAGCCATCTGAATGAAAAGGGATGCTATGGTAGGAGACCCAGGAGGACCCCACCTGCTTACACAGAAATATGGTAGGAGACCCAAGAGGACCCCACTGCTGACACAGAAATATGGTAGGTGATTCAGGAGGATCCTTCCCACTGCTGACACAGAAATATGGTAGGTGATTCAGGAGGACCCCACTGCTGACACAGAAAAGAGAGAAAAGAATCCAGTCCCTCCAGTCACACATGGTGGGGGGTCACTGATGTTTTAGGGTTGCTTTGCTGCTTCAGGCACTGGATGTCTTGACCGTGTGCATGGAATTATGAAATCTGAAGACTACCAAAACATTGTGGGGTGCAATGTAGGGCCCAGTGTGAGAAAGTTGGGTCTCCATCAGAGGTCATGGGTCTTCCAGCAGGACAATGACCCAAAGCACACGTCAAAAAGTACCCAGAAATGGTTTCAGACAAAGCACTGGAGAGGACTGAACTGGCCAGCAATGAGTCCAGATCTCCATCCCATAGAGCTCCTGTGGAGAGATCTCAGAACATCAGTTGGGGAAAGGAACCTTCCAATCTGAGAGACCCGGAGCAGTTGTAGAAAGAAGAGCGATCCAAAATTCCAGTAGAGAGGTGGAAGAAACTCATTGATGGTTACAGAAAGCCATTGATTTCAGTTATGTTTTCCAAGGGGTGTGACACCAAATATTACATCCAGTATACCAATAATTTTGTCCAGTCCTTTGGGGATTTGCGTGGAATATATCAGATTTGGCTTTTTTGTTTCCCCACTTTTTTGTGTCATACCGATACAAACAAAAGAAACAAAGATGAGAATGCCGAAACATTTGTCATCGCAACAATTTTCTTGGTGAAGTGGTGCGTTATCTGACAGAAATACGGAGAGGGCAACATTTTTAGCCATCACTATATATATAAAATTAAACATAAATATCTATATATATATATATATATATATATATATATATATATATAAATTATATATACAAATATAAAATAGATATGTGTGTGTATATATATATATATATATATATATATCAAAATAAATAAATATATATATATATATATATATATTCACATAAAATAAATATTTATTTAATATATATATATATATATATATATATATATACACACACACATATATATATATATATATGAATTTATATACATATATATATATATATATATATATATATATTATACACACATATATATTTGATTTATTTTATATATATATATATATATATATATATATACACACATATATATATATATTTATTTATTTTGAATTTATATATATATATATATATATATACACACATATATATATATATATATATATATATATACATATATTAATAAAATATATACACAAACTAACCAAAACCACTATGATTTATACAAATCAAAATGACAAATTTTTGAGCCCAAATTCTTCTCTCTGTGGCTCTGCCGTTCATCATCTTACCTTGAAAGAATAAATAAGGGCCACAATTCCAAGAGGGAAGCAGAGAAATAAACTCAAGATGGATTGCTTCATGTGGTCATCACATTTGGCTGGGCTAGCCGAAATACAAGATGGCTGCCTGGTGACGATGCTGACTGAGTTGGGTGGTGGGTCAGAGACGTCTGTAGGTGGGATATTAGAGATTGGAAGGACACAGTTCGCAGGTGATGATAAATCTGAATATTGGGGTGGGTAGATGATCCTGGTTGGTCGGGGGGGGAGCAGACTGGAACCATATATATTCTCGGAGGTTGAGATGAATGCGGTGGTGGACCAGTATAGAAAGTGGTTTGTGAATCTGTCCATGGAGGAGGTAGCTCTGAGTATGGTGGAGGGGCGTCCTCGTATTTGGTGCTGGTGGTCATGCATGCACACGTTCCTGGAGGTCTGGATGGTTTGAATTCATGGAGGATTGAGCGGGATGCATCCTTTAAACTGAATTGAAAGGAATAAATTCTAAAGGACGCCTTCCTTCTTCAACTTCACTCACCTTCATAGCAGCGGCACAAAAGTGATTTTCCATTGACAACACCCTTTTATCCAGATGAGTAACTTTATTTAACCAATAAGCACATAGCTGAATAATAAACATTTCATAATAAGGAAACCTTAGGCAAAGCATGTTAATTATAATTGGCAGACTGAACAGTTAATTTAAATATTCCCACAGCTACTTCCCGGTCCGGAGATTTTCCCAGTGCAATTATTCACCCGCGTGATGAATAAAACTTTAGAAAATGAAGTTTACGGAAGTTATGACATCATCCATATATCCTTCATTATATGTTACTGGGACAATAAAACATTTATATATACTGTATGTATGCACTGCTCCAAAAAAAAAATTAAAGGAAGACTTTGAAAACCCATCAGATGGGGAGGAGTCTCCTGCTGGATCTCTATACTGACATGGACGGGGGATGTGTGAGGAACGTAAGGACGCCCCATCGTTTGATGAAAATAATTGACCTATAGAGGACTGAATTCAAAGACACCCCGAAAATCAAATTGAAGAAATGATGCAGCAGGCGAGTCCATGTTGGTGAAATGTCATTGCAGCAACTCAGAATGGTCCTCAGTAGTCTGTGTGGCCCCCACGTGCTTGTATGCATGCCTGACAACGTCGGGGGAGGCTCCTAATGAGACCACGGATGGTGTCCTAGGGGATTTCTTCCCAAATCTGGACCAGGGTGTCACTGAGCTCCTGGACAGTCTGAAGTGCAACCTGGCGGCGTTGGATGGACCAAAATATGACATCCCAGAGGGGTTTTATTGGATTTAGGTCAGGGGAGCGGGGGGGGGCCATTCAATGGTATCCACTCCTTCATCCTCCAGGAACTGCCTGCATACTCTTCCCACATGAGGCCGGGCATTGTCATACACCAGCAGGAACCCAAGACCCACTGCACCAGGAGGAAAGGACCCACTGCCAGGAGGACCTGGACACTGCACCAGGAGGAACCCAGGACCCACTACACCAGGAGGCACCCAGGACCCACTCTACAAGGAGGAACCCAGGACCCACCGCACCAGGAGGAACCCAGGACACACCGCACCAGGAGGAACCCAGGACACACTGCGCCAGGAGGAATCCAGGACACACCGCACCAGGAGGAACCCAGGACACACTGCGCCAGGAGGAATCCAGGACCCACTGCACCAGCGTAGAGTCTGACAATGGGTCCAAGGATTTCAGCCCCATACCTAATGGCAGTCAGGGTGCCATTGTCTAGCCTGTAGAGGTCTGTGTGTCCCTCCATGGATATGCCCCCCCAGACCATCACTGACCCACCACCAAAACGGTCATACTGAACCATGTTACAGGCAGCAGAACGTTCTCCACGGCTTCTCCGTACCCTTTCACATCTGTCACATATGCTCAGGGTGAACCTGCTCTGAGGGTGCCAGTGGTGGACCTGCCAATTCTGGTGTTCAATGGCAAATGCCAATCGAGAGCTATGGTGCGAGGCAGTGAGCACAGGGCCCACTAGAGGACTTTCGGCTCTCAGGCCACCCTCATGAAGTCATAGTACAGGAGATGACCAGAGACTGCAGACATAGTACAGGAGATGACCAGAGACTGCGGACATAGTACAGGAGATGACCAGAGACTTCGGACATAGTACAGGAGATGACCAGAGACTTCAGACACAGTACAGGAGATGACCAGAGACTGCGGGCATAGTACATGAGATGACCAGAGACTGCGGACACAGTACAGGAGATGACCAGAGACTGTGGACATAGTACAGGAGATGACCAGAGACTGCGGACATAGCACAGGAGATGACCAGAGACTGCGGACACAGTACAGGGGATGACCAGAGACTGCGGACACAGTACCGGGGATGACCAGAGACTGCGGACACAGTACAGGAGATGACCAGAGACTGCGGACACAGTACAGGAGATGACCAGAGACTGCGGACACAGTACAGGAAATGATCAGAGACTGCGGACACAGTACAGGGGATGACCAGACACTGCGGTCACAGTACCGGGGATGACCAGAGACTGCGGACATAGTACAGGAGATGACCAGAGACTGCGGACACAGTACAGGAGATGACCAGAGACTGCGGACACAGTACAGATGACCAGAGATTGCGGACATAGTACAGGAGATGACCAGAGACTGCGGACATAGTACAGGAGATGACCAGAGACTGCGGACACAGTACAGGAGATGATCAGAGACTTCAGACACAGTACAGGAGATGACCAGAGACTGCGGGCATAGTACATGAGATGACCAGAGACTGCGGACATAGTACAGGAGATGACCAGAGACTGCGGACACAGTACAGGAGATGACCAGAGACTGCGGACATAGCACAGGAGATGACCAGAGACTGCGGACATAGTACAAGAGATGACCAGAGACTGCGGACACAGTACAGGGGATGACCAGAGACTGCGGACACAGTACAGGAGATGACCAGAGACTGCGGGCATAGTACATGAGATGACCAGAGACTGCGGACACAATACAGGAGATGACCAGAGACTGCGGACACAGTACAGGAGATGACCAGAGACTGCGGACACAGTACAGGAGATGACCAGAGACTGCGGACATAGCACAGGAGATGACCAGAGACTGCGGACACAGTACAGGGGATGACCAGAGACTGCGGACACAGTACCAGGGGATGACCAGAGACTGCGGGCACGGTACAGGAGATGACCAGAGACTGCGGACACGGTACAGGAGATGACCAGAGACTGTGGACACAGTACAGGAGATGACCAGAGACTGCGGACACGGTACAGGAGATGACCAGAGACTGCGGACACGGTACAGGAGATGACCAGAGACTGCAGACACGGTACAGGAGATGACCAGAGACTGCAGACACGGTACAGGAGATGACCAGAGACTGCGGACGTAGTACAGGAGATGACCAGAGACTGCGGACGTAGTACAGGAGATGACCAGAGACTGCGGACGTAGTACAGGAGATGACCAGAGACTGCGGACACAGTACAGGAGATGACCAGAGACTGCAGACATAATACAGGAGATGACCAGAGACTGCGGACATAGTACAGGAGATGACCAGAGACTGCAGACATAGTACAGGAGATGACCAGAGACTGCAGACATAGTACAGGAGATGACCAGAGACTGCGGACATAGTACACCTTTGGGGAGCAGGGGGGGCAGGTAAATCTTCCAAATCCTTTGGAGGGCGAAGGAGGATGGGGGATCCTCTGGAGGGGGAGGGGTTGATACAAGCCGATGTGAATGTAATTTAGTGCATTGAGAGGACATGGAACTGGATGATCCTGCTAAGTAGGCCAAGTGCCCGTTCTAAACATGGTTTATAATTTGCATAAGGGGAAGTGATGATTCGGATGAATCGAATAATAAAGACTCGGCACTGTTCTACATTATCCAGGACAGCTTGAAATAAACTCTTGCGGTCGCCATATTTTTGGGATCAGGATTACGCAACCCGTCTGACTCCCCACACCTGAAACACCGGCTCCGGGAGGATCCAGACACTCCACCGCGTCCCGTCCTGTCCTAATACATCATATATTAATATTTATATCGTCATCTTTGCAAATCAGCCAAATCCATTCATTAACCAGAATGTTGCCAAGTCAGACAGGTTACTGGTGTCCTTGCCTTATGTAAGATCTAGCCAGAAGTCAGATGTCAGCTTTATGTAAAACGTAATTGCCCGCAAATATCAGGAGGGAAGATCCCTACTGTCAGCCCATGAACAAGATATCTCATCTCAAGCAACAGCCAAATATGTCATCGGAATCAGGGGCGGACTGACAACTCATGGGGTCCCCGGGCAATAGGGGATCATGGGGCCCCTGTGTCCTTGCCCAAACTCAAAAAAGCCTATGAAAAAAGGTACCAGGGGCATCTCATGGGGCCTGTATACTATAGGTAGTTATTAAGAGGTTGTTAATTAAGTTATCGTGTCACCCAATGTTTGGTTTCCATTCAGTAGCCAAAAAAGGCATTCAAAAAAAAGGGGGTTTGTGAAAAGAGATTCACAGAAAAGCGGCTACATTATGAACAGACCGTGACACTCAGAAAATTTTCCAAAAATTATGCTTTATTACACAGATATAAATATGACATATGGGCATTCGCCCTGGTTTACCATCACCTCAGTATGAGACAATAACACACAGACCTAAAACCATATAAAATGACATCAAGACCGGTCTAAATGTATGTGCAACAGAGAAAGTGACTGCAAGAGTCTAATATCTCTGTAGTACAAACACATAGGTAAACACTTCCCAAAAGAGGTGTATCCAAAAATTATACCATAGGTATACCACAATATTAAATAATGAATTTACACCAATATCATAATGGTGAATCCCGAACAGGGAATCCAAAAATTATACTATGGATATACGTATATCACATGTATGAAATGCAGTAAGCACAATAAGCGTGAAGAGGGGAACAGTAAGCCTCAGGCCTGTTTGGAAAAAGACGTAAATGTCAAATATATGATGCAATACATTCCTGTGCCGGCACACGTGGTTGGGGCCGTTCATCTGTAATGTGAACAGCTGTATCATAAAGCTCTTGAATGGAAATAAGCCCCATTTATTCCCAGGATGGGAGAAAGGTGCAGATTGCAGCACTCTGCTTGAAATGGTATCTTTCACCACTATATGTGGACTACACACCACCCTTTGTAGGAAAAGCAAGACATATCCCAATGAATCTTCTGCCTGTTGAACTATATGCGGTATGTCCTGTATCCTACACAAAGCACCATAATGTCCCCATCCTGTAGTGAAACAAATAATGTGGGAAGTCACTGACAGAGCTTGCACTCAATAAGATATGTAGGTCATATTGATCACAGAGGACCGTATATCTATGTCCTGTAACAATCCACTCACCACCTGTGCCGTGGATAAAGGGAATGAAAGAGATGTCCTTCATGGATATTTGCAGCACATCTATCCAGACCGGTCTTGGTGTTATTTTATATGGTTTTAGGTCTGTGTGTTATTGTCTCATACTGAGGTGATGGTAAACCAGGGTGAATGCCCATATGTCATATTTATATCTGTGTAATAAAGCATAATTTTTGGAAAATTTTCTGAGTGTCACGGTCTGTTCATAATGTAGCCGCTTTTCTGTGAATCTCTTTTCACAAACCCCTTTTTTTTGCATCTCATGGGGCCCCCTACTGACCCCGGGCCCTCGGGCAGTGCCCGGGTTTCCAAATGGTCAGTCCACCCCTGATCAGAATACATACACAGAGCAGGCTATATCTGCCAAAGAATTTTTATTGCTGTCCATCCAGCGTGAGAAATCCATGGGGTACCTGAACCGACTCCAGACTGCACTCGGGTACGTCCGTTAGACTACCGCTTCCCCGTCCGAACACCGACCACAGACACCACGGCCGACCATACAAGACGAGACGACACCAGACTTGAAGTAAGCCAGGAAGTAGACTAGTTTATTTGAACACAGATACAAGATATATACACTCAGGGGAACAATCCCCCCTCCCTGCATAATGACACCTGATGTAAAGGGGGACTCTACTGGGGACTCCACCTGGCGGGGAGGGTTGCAATCCGCCATCTTCATCCTGGGCGCTGGATGACCTTGTCCCGGCCCCCTTCGCAGGTATAATGGCTTTCACTCTTCTTGGAAAACCTTTCCCAAAAGAGTAGAGGATGTTAAAGCTACAAAGAGATGGCCACTCCATATTAATGGACATGGTTTTGAAATGGAACATCTAGCAAGTTCATATAAGTGTGATAATCCGCCATGCAGTGTATATATATATATACAGTGGGGATTGAAAGTTTGGGCACCCCAGCTAAAAATTTGTATTAATGTGCATAAAGAAGCCAAGGAAAGATGGAAAAATCTCCAAAAGGCATCAAATTACAGATTAGACATTCTTATAATATGTCAACAAAAGTTAGATTTTATTTCCATCATTTACACTTTCAAAATAACAGAAAACAAAAAAATGGCGTCTGCAAAAGTTTGGGCACCCTGCAGAATTTATAGCATGCACTGCCCCCTTTGCCAAGCTGAGACCTGCCAGTGTCATGGATTGTTCTCAATCATCGTCTGGGAAGACCAGGTGATGTCAATCTCAAAGGTTTTAAATGCCCCGACTCATCTGACCTTGCCCCAACAATCAGCACCATGGGTTCTTCTAAGCAGTTGTCTAGAAAACTGAAACTGAAAATAGTTGACGCTCACAAAGCTGGAGAAGGCTATAAGAAGATAGCAAAGCGTTTTCAGATGTCAATATCCTCTGTTCGGAATGTAATTAAGAAATGGCAGTCATCAGGAACAGTGGAAGTTAAAGCAAGATCTGGAAGACCAAGAAAAATATCAGACAGAACAGCTCGCAGAATTGTGAGAAAGACAATTCAAAACCCACGTTTGACTGCACGATCCCTCCAGAAAGATCTGGCAGACACTGGAGTTGTGGTCAATATTCCACTATAAAGTGATACTTGTACAAATATGGTCTTCATGGAAGAGTCATCAGAAGAAAACCTCTTCTATGTCCTCACCACAAAAATCATCGTTTGAACTTTGCAAATGAACATATAGACAAGCCTGATGCATTTTGGAAACAAGTTCTGTGGACCGATGAGGTTAAAATTGAACTTTTTGGCCGGAATGAGCAAAGGTACTGTGAGGGACCGCCGAGCGGCACCACTAGCACTCCACTGGTCAGGCGCGCCCAGAGCGCGGAGTCTAAGCCCCAGGGTACTTGTTCACCAGGGCCCCTGATGGTGGGGATGGACTTGTAGTACCCCGAGACCAGGTCGCCTCTACTGAGCACACCTGTCAGTGGTAGTGGTGTTCGCCAGGGGTTCCAACCAGGGAGAGCCAGATGTGAGGAGGTCGGGTGACCCCGATGGGATGGATGGATGGATGGCTGAGCAAGTGCGTAGTCAGACAGGCCGAGTCGGTAATGTAGCGGGCGGTAAGGTACAAGGGAGCAGGCAGAGAATCGTCGGGTCACACGCCAGGTCAGCAACAGGAGGTCAGATCTAATAAGGGGCATCCAGGGAGAGAGGTCAGGCAAGCAAGGGTCTGGGCAGGAGAAATCAGCTAGGTCAAGAGCAATCCGGGTCAAAAACTCACTAGGCACAGGTACAGGAACACAGGAAGCAGGAAGACCAGAAGGCAACCAAATGACAGCTCAGGGACCTTTAAATATCCCGCCCTGCGCTGCCATTGGTGCCCAGCGGGCGGCCGCGGCTTCTACTGCGCATGCGCGAACTCGAACGCCGCGGCCGGCCCGGACCTAGTGCCCGTGCACTGGGTGGAGCAGTGCGCCTGCGCCGGGCCCATCGCGGCGGGGATCGAGGAGATCCCTGACATTTACGTTTGGAGAAGAAGGGGCACAGAATTTAATGAAAAGAACCTCTGTCCAACTGTTAAGCATGGGGTTGGATCAATCATGCTTTGGGGTTGTGTTGCAGCCAGTGGCACAGGGAACATCTCACGAGTAGAAGGAAAAATGGATTCAATAAAATTTCAGCAAATTTTGGATGGTAACTTGATGCCATCTGTGAAAAAGCTGAAGTTAAAGAGAGGATGGCTTCTACAAATGGATAATGATCCTAAACACACCTCGAAATCCACGGGGGATTACATCAAGAGGCGTAAACTGAAGGTTTTGCCATGGCCTTCACAATCTCCTGACCTCAACATCATTGAAAATCTATGGCTAGACCTTAAAAGAGCCGTGCGTGACAGACAGCCCAGAAATCTCAAAGAACTGGAAGACTTTTGTAAGGAAGAATGGGCAACGATACCTCAAACAAGAACTGAAAGACTCTTGGCTGGCTACAAAAAGCGTTTACAAGCTGTGATACTTGCCAAAGGGGGCAGTGCATGCTATATAAATTCTGCAGGGGGCCCAAACTTTTGCAGACGCCATTTTTTTGTTTTCTGTTATTTTGAAAGTGTAAATGATGGAAATAAAATCTAACTTTTGTTGACATATTATAAGAATGTCTAATCTGTAATTTGATGCCTTTTGGAGATTTTTCCATCTTTCCTTGGCTTCTTTATGCACATTAATACAAATTTTTAGCTGGGGTGCCCAAACTTTCGATCCCCACTGTATATATATATACCGTATTTTTCGCTCCATAAGACGCACTTTTTTCCCCCAAAAAAAGGGGGGGAAATGTCAGTGCGTCTTATGGAGCAAATATAAAGCGGCCGGTCCAGTATTTCTGCCACCACCATGTCAGAATACCGGGCCAGCCGCTCAGCTCTTCTCTCCTGCGG